GGACCACTCAAGGTCACGTGGCAGGGCACACCTGCAGACACAGAACAAACAGGACCACTCAAGGTTGCCCTGCACACACAGAACAAATAGGACCACTCAAGGTCACATGCCAGGGGACACCTGCAGACACAGGACAAATAGGACCACTCAAGGTCGCCCTGCACACACAGAACAAATAGGACCACTCAAGGTCACGTGCCAGGGTGCACCTGCACACACAGAACAAATAGGACCCATCTTTCTGCATGAACTTTTGGAGAAGAAAACATCCTTATGTAAACATGCTATTTTATGTGGTAGGGTATTTTTAGGAAACATCAAAGAAATTTTATCCCTCAGGCCAGTGGCCTCTGGTTATGCCCTCAGACATGGAAAATATTTTTGAGGGAGAATGGAGACCCACTTGAGTGCTGCTAATGATGGGAGCCCCCACCCCCGTCATGGGTCATGTAGGACTGCTCTCCTGAGCACTCAAGGTGGTCTCTCTCTCTCTCTCTCTTTTGAGACAGAGTCTCTCTCTGTTGTCCCAGGCTAGAATACCATGGAGTCAAAACTCTCAGCAATCTCAAACTCCCAGATTCAGAAGATCCCCCTGCCTCAAACTCCAGAGTAGCTGGGACCACAGGCACCTGCCACAACGCCCAGCTTATTTTTTTTATTTTTAGTAAAGACAGGGTCTTGATCTCACTCAGGCTGGTCTCAAACTCCTGAGCTCAAGGCATCCACCCACCTCATTCTTCCAGAGTGCTGGGATTACAGACGTGAGCCACCGCGCCCGGCCTCGAGTTCTCTTCTGGTGAGCATTTCTGAGCACTTTTCTTTGCTCCATTTCCAAAATCAATACACATCTGCTGTGGTTCTGCTGTTTCATGACTTCATGAATCCAGGTTTACAATTGCTTATGTGACCTTTTCAAATCACTTAACCTTTTGGGGTCTCAGTTTCTTCATCCATAAACGTGGAGAGAGTTTCCACGGAGAGATTTGTAAGGCCCAAGGTTTAAAATTCTAGGATAGCGTATTCTACAGATTAGCCAGTCGGCGGCTCAGAGCAGAAAATAAGCAAGTATTGATCGCTTCATTCACTGAGTGTCCCTTGTCTTTAGTTATCGTTTTTATCAGGTAGCTATTTTTTGCACTAAACAACCATCCCCGATTTAGAGGCTTGAAACAGTGACCATTTATTCAGCTCACAGTTCTACAGGTTGTCAATTTTCTCTTGGCTCAGAAGGACGGGTTTTCTGGCCTGGGCTGATAAGGAACCCCTTATCCGCCCTCCACTCTGCTCCTTTTCTTCCCAGAACTGGTGAAAGGGTCAGAGGTCCAATGATTGGTTGAAACAGTTTTCACCTGTTCCAACGTAGAGCCATTTCTTGAATGCCCTTCAGTAAAGTGAGGGCTATTTCTCCTACCCCATGTCAAAGTTTAGCTTTATCAATTCTTTCAAATCTACTAGGATCTGCTAATTATGAATTTTGCAGCCACAATAATCTGAGGTAGGTCTTTCAAATGTTATGTTAAAAATGTAACTTCAGTGCAAGTAAAACATTTCTAAATCCAGTTGTTAGAATTCCTACTTAAATGAAACATCTTTGATAAATGCCAAACATAATACTTTAGGTACTCGAAACTTGTTTTCACAGAAAATAATGAAATAGGAATTTGACTCAACAGTAAATGATTCAGACAAAAAAAATAAAATAAAAGTATTCATTTAGAAGCATGAACATCCCAGATCAAAGTGTGCTTTAAGGCCAAGATTCTTTGGATAATTACCTCAGCTGCACACAGCCTGGGCAGATATGATTAACTTAGCTAGAGAAAGATTATGAGGGATTTATAGCAGTGAAAAAATTGCTGGCAAATCTGATTAAATGTAAATTTCTGCATTTGTGGATTGAAGCTGAGAAAAGGCCTGGTAGCAGTTTCACGGGCTAGTCCACAGCTTTAACGCACATTTTTGTGCCGTTATCAGCAGCTGCAAACTCATGAGCACAGCTCACGTGGTGAGCGACTGCAGTGAACTAATCTGCACCTCCCACACACACACAGGGCTTTTTTTTTTCATACACAAGATAAGCAGATTCTGGAAATAACTAATTTAGCAAATCTGATTTGGGCATCTTTAATGGATTACTTTCTGTTATTTTATCTTTTCACAATTTTGTTTGATGTCCTATCAAATGTTTGGCCAAATGTTTAATTATAAGATGACGTTAAACGTCACGGCTGCCCGTGACCTTAGCTGCATTCTCCTTTGGCTTTTCTCCTTGTTCCCTGTGCCCTCGTCATCTTCTGCTGGTTACATACAAGGACCTTCGGAGAAGCAACTGATTCCAACAGAGGTTTCCAAACTGACCTCTCTTTTGCAAACATGATTGGAATCCAAGGTATCTAATCATGGCTTGAATAGTTTGACCTGCCTGAGCTAAAACATTGTATTCCACAGATACTGTAAAAAACAACCTGCTCACCCATTATCTTTAGTGGCCCACGTTCATTTGGCTATAAAATAGCCCCTTTGTGGAACAGGCAGGCTTAGAGGACACCTTTTGGGAACTGGGAATTCTCTCTGTGAGCCATAACGATAGCATCACCATCAGATGTGGATATTCCTGTGGGAAATGGTCTATCTTCTCCTCTTATTGGCTGTGCTTATAGACTTATTTTACTGATACTGAATTTGGCTTGAGAAGGCTACATGAGATGTCATTAATTCATCTGTTTATTCTTTCATTTCTAAGCATTATTCTAAATCTTAGAAATAGATACAGCATCCCCACGGCCATGGGCATGCTGTGTGATCGGCTGTTACTCTTCTTTGCCTCCCCTGGAAGGTTCCACAGCTGTCTTCACCGAGTTGTAAGGTTAAGTACTGAGTGATGCCCACGTGGACACGCAGCTGACTTCTCTCTCTTCTGAACTTAGTGAATCCAAATAAGTGAATTATTGTTTACTTGTTTAAATGTAAAAGTGAAAACCTTAAAAATGTGACATTGTCTTTAGAATATTAGTGTTAAAACTTTAGAAATCATACACTGAGACTTAATCTACTGTTATTATCACACACCACCCTCAGCAGGGCTTGAAAGTAAATGTGTTGGCCAATGTGACTTATAGGTGTCAGGGAAATGATCTAAAAGAAACCAAAGGACTCCTTCATGCAAAACAACTCCCTTGACAGTCAATCCCAGTACTCAGAATTCATACCTTCCATTCACTTATTCACTCACTGACAGCTGCTAGAAGCTTTATGCTGCAGAATGGGGATGAAAGTGCTAAACAAGGCACTCCAGTCCTGATCTGGGAGAAGTTTACAGACGGGCTGGAGAAAAAGATGAATAAGTAGCCAATTATATTATTGTATAACAAGTGCTATAATGGGGGCCTATAAAGCTATGATGTCTATCAGGAGTCCCCAACCTTTTTCAAACCAGGGACCAGTTTCATGGAAGACTATTTTTCCAGGGGGGAGTGAAACTGAGCAAGAATTCTCATGCAGAATTTAGTAACAAGACAGAGAAGAGTATTGCCTCAGCCTTGGGCAGTAATAATGTATAATATAGTACTGGGAAAAAATTATCCTTACACGGAACACTTCTTCAGTCCCATCTAAACTAATCTTAAAAGAAAAACCCAAAAGGATCAAACAGTTTTTAGTAACACTGAATCCCAGAACAAAGCTCAAAAGTATATGAAGGAATGCAAATAAACCAGCACCCAAGGAGGTAAAAAGTAAAATTCTGGTGTCCAATCAAAAATCACCAAGCATTCAAAGAAGCAGAATAATGTAATCCATAAATGAAGAGAAAAATCAATTGACAATGACCAGAACTGAAACACGCTTTATAAGCAACACAAAAGTGCATCAAAACACTTACTATAACTGCGTGTGTGTCCACAAAGTAGAGACATGAGAGAGTTTTTAAAACCCCAGTCAAAACTTTAGAAATAAAAATGACAATGTTTGGTATAAAAAATATAATAGATGGGTTTAACAAAAAAAAATTTAACAGCCCGGGCACCTTGGGTCATGCCTGTAATCCTAGTACTCTGGGAGGCTGAGGCAGGCAGATAGCTTGAGCTCACGGGTTCAAGACCAGACTGAGCAAAAAAGCAAGACCCCCATCTCTACTAAACATAGAAAAACTGAGGTAAGAGCCATGGTTCTCAACCTTTCTAATAACACGAACTTTAATATAGTCTAAAGGTGTCGCAACCCACAGGTTGAGAACTGCTGAGTAAGAGGATCGCTAGAGCCCAAGAGTTGGAGATTGTTGTGAGCTATGACACCACGGCACTCTACCCAGGGTGACAACTTGAGGCTCTATCTAAAAAAAAAGATTTGATTAATCTAAGAGAAAGCAAAGAAAGAGGAAAAAGGAAACAAAATGCAGAAGGAATAAACAGAAGACCAATGAGATGATATACACAACTTTAACCACATCAACACTCACACTAAATATAAATGGTCTATACATTCCAATTAAAAGACACTACTGTCAGATCAGATTAAACAAGGAAGGTCAAACTATATTCTGCCTACTTTAAACATAAAGATACAAATAAGAGGATAGTTGTTTGAGAGGATCAAAAAAGGAAGAAGGTAAAAATTGCCCTACCAGTAAAGAAAGACATAATATGCATATAACTACAGATTCTATAAATATTAAAAGGATAATATAGAATTATTACTAACAGCTTCATACCAGGACAGTTATTAAAACTTAGGTGAAATGGATATATCATCTGAAAGAAAAAAATCTACCAAATCTTAAAGATGAAACAGATAACATAAAGAGTCCTATTTAAAAAATAGAAATTGTAGTTAAAAACCTTTCATTAAAAAAAAAAAAATCCCTCCAAGTGAAACTGGCTTCACCTGTTAATTCTGCCAAACATTCAAGGAAGACATAATATAATTCTACACAAACTCCTCCAGAAAAATTTAGAAAAGATAGTTTCTAAGTCGTTCTTTGAAGCCAACATTACCTTGACATCAATACCAGGTGAAAGCATTACAATAAAAACCTATAGACCATAAATATATCAATAGAAGAAATAGAACCAAAAAACTCTTTAAAAATTGGTAGATAGAACCAAAAGTTGTTAAAATGTTAATACGTATTTCTGGTTTATCTCAGAAATGCAAATGTGGTTTAATATTCCAGATCAATTCAATTCACCATTTTAACAAACTAAAGAATACCCACAGGATTATCTTAAAGGATATAGAAAAAGCATTTGAGATATACTAACATTTATTCCTGATTTAAAACCCTCAACCAGTCGGAGATTTCCTCAGCCTGATAAAGGGTATCTATGAAAAACCTACAGCTGACATCCTACGGAGTGGTGAAAGATTAAATGCTGCTTGGGAGGTTCAGGAAAAAGATAAAGATGTCCTCTCTTACCACTTCTAGTCAATATTGTACTGGAGTTCTAGCCAGTGCAATAAGACAAGAAAACACAAAGAATGAAACACATCCAGACAGGAAAGGGAAAAGCAAACGGTCTTTGTTTGTAGCAGCATGATAACCTGTGAAAAAATATGATAGGAACCTATTTTAAAAAGCTAATAAATGAGTTTAGAAATATTGAGGATACACGATCAATCACAAAAATTAAATTTATCTCTTAAAAAAACACCATCACATACAACGGCCTAAAATATTTACTACTTATTAAGTAATACAGTGACAAATTAAACAAGGGCACTGCCCCCAAGGGACTCTCTAAGTGAGAAAGGAACACAAAAATAGATAATAGGTGACTCTGGTAAGAAGAGGAATAGAGATAAGTATGAATATTCAGTCAATTATATTAACAATTTTCTCCTGGTAGGAGAAGGATCTACCAAGCAATCTACTAATTCCATAAACTGGGTCAGCACCACCAGGATTCCTCACGCTGTTGGTATAGCCCTTTGTCTGATACCTACAGGAAGAGAGTAAGTGGTTTTTATCTACATGTTTACCTAATAAGCCAGTCC